AGATTCCCAAATATCGGTGGCACAGCTCTACAGACCCTTTTGAATGCAGGAGCTTAGGCCTTCGACTTGATGACCTTGGACAAGAAGAAAACCTTCTGTAAACGCGAAAAGATCCTTCAAAGAAAAATTGTAAATTCTAAAAAATTAATTCAAAAAATCAATTCTAACAAATTCTACCCGAATGTACTGTGTGAATGGTTAGACTTGCGTTTAAGTTTCTATTCTTTTTTTTTAATGGCGCACCTCGAGTGCATTTAAATAAATAAATAAATAAACAAAATAACTTCCCACAGGTACCACGTCATCTCGCTGCCTTTCGCTCTTTTGAACCTGTCAACCTCGGGCAGTTCAGTTGAATTATCAGAAGAAACATGTCAAAAGAGCGAAAGGAAACGTCGCACCACGTACGCACACTGGTTCACATGGGAACTTTTCTTGGGCACACAGGATTTCAATGCAAAGGAGACTGGTGAACTTGATTAACATTCTTGGAATGAGATATAAAGTACATATGTACTTCAATGGTTGCGTGGTGACTCTCGTTGGCCAAATAAGAGTTCCAACCCACAAGTGCAATGGTTTTGCGATTTACTTCACTTGCCCTGTGCTTATTTATATCGGCATAGACTCGCGAACCTCAGCCCAAAAAACGAGGTTGTCATGGGGTCTGCGAGCTCGCGGTCATGTCTTATGCTAACATGCCGGGTGGATTATTACCACCCACAGTGTCAGAGAGAGGTAAATCGCTTCACACCTAATTGTTGGAGTTTCCTCTACAGAATGGTATATGAATTCTATGAAGTTTGCAAGATAATTTCCCATTGATCAAACATTTTAACACTTTTTTGGACGCCCACTATAAGTCATCATTCGAAATCTAAGCAAGATGTAACCTTGCAACTATATCAACGTGCTATTTAAATTCGTTCTTTTCAAACCGTACAATAATCACTTTTAAAATCGACGTGTTGCAGCCTTGACATTGATGCAATTTAACCAGCCCGTGGCTGACACTTTGTAAATATCATTGTTTTTGCTATTCGTGCCGCGAATTCACCGCATCGCAATAACAGCTCAGTGCCAATCCGACCAATCAGCTTCATCCAAGAGGTGGGGAGAAATGTATTTATTGGATACAAAGTACACCTATCAGTTGAACACAGTATGATATTAGGTTGAAAAAATTGATGGGCGTTTTTCTAGGCTTTTTTAGGACAACTTTTCTCCATCGAACTACTTCTATGATACAGACCTAGCATACCGTTGAGAAATTTTTTTTCATGCTCTATGTAACGATGTTTGAAAAGTGCTTCTAGCCATCTCTCTCAGAAATTTGCAGAGCCAAATGAGCGCACATAAACCCCGATTTCCATTGCATTTACTTTCTGGTCAGAATTGAAGTGTAAATGATGGCGCACTTTTAAAAATAGAGCCACTGTATGTAGTAGGGATCGCCTACATTAAGCACACTTAACCATATTCTTTGAAGTTATCTAAACTGGGATATGGCGCCTCATCATGGACAGAGTTTTGGTCATTTTATGGCCCATGGCTCTCTTTTTAAAGAAAGCAATCATCAAAGCTTTGCTCATTTCTGTAAGCGTGAGGATAGGGCATCCTGCTGGCAATTCTTGCAAAAACAATTAGCTATTCAGTACGCAGAAAATCGGAAAATTCCATAATTTGGGACTTTAAGGCTTTACTGAAAAAATGTGTGAAAAAGTCGACTTTTGGACTTTATTTTTTTTCTTCGAAATCTTTTTTGTTCGAACCCTTTCCATCTTTAATCGCAGTAAGGCTAGCGGCTATAGGATAGGCTACTTAGCACTTATAATAACAAACCTTTGAAGGAAATTATATTTGTCAAAAACGAAGTTCCAGGAAAAAGAATTTTTGTTTTTCAGTGCGAACTTTTCTGATCTGTAAAACGAGTATAGGTAAACGTGCGGTGTATTGCGAAAGGTTTGATTGCATGTTGGTCTTTGCCTAATTTCAGATTGTAGACTTCTCAAAAGCCATAACAAGTCAAAGAGAAAATTGCAAAACGTTCATTTCTCGAATACCTAACATTATCTACCTGCGTTCCGTTTACCGTAAAACTGATATGCTTGCGGGCTTCAAGTTTTCCCTCGCTAATTTCATTTGGAATATTCCAGAACTAAATTCAACTGCTTCTTTTATTTGAAAATTTTCATCGATCTGTGCTGGATACAGGGTGTCCCATATGTAAGCACTGTGCGATCGTTAATATCTTCTGTCGTCTTTCAGGCATAATTCGGAAAAGCTGGTTTCCTTAGATATGCAATACGGTGCGAATTAGATCGTTCCAAGAAAAGATTTTAAAAAAATTGAGGATTTGTTTAGAAGTTTTTCGCATATGCTAGTTTCACTATTCAAATTTTTACGGGTTTTTTAAGCTGTGATTAACCACATTTTTGTGGAACAGTGAAGAAACAGCTGATACGGCATACTTGGTACAGCTTACAACGAAGCATCGCGTGAAGTGCTTGTTTCATATTCAGGGTCAACAGTTGTCTCTATTACCTCATGTAAGAGTTTTAAGCTTGTGTTTTTCTTTCTGGGGCAAGTTATAACGGTGAATGCTCAGTACTGTCCTCGTGACCTTGCAGTACTGAAGCAACAGATGATTCGCATCACACCGCTATACCCTGAATTATGCTTGCAAAATCATAGAGAAAACGCTGTGCGTAGCTTTTCCCTTGGCTGGTAGCTTTTTGCTTGCTTTACTCATTGAAGACCGATTGGGTGTCGACGAAGGATGCAAATTGGGAACAAGGGATTTCCTTACCGAAGCCTTTGGCTGTTGTTTTATCCTGCTATGAAAGAAATAAATCATAACCGTGTTGGAGGTTCCTCAGATGGGCCCCGCTCCCCCCCCCCCCCCTCCTTCAATGTTCTCCCTGCATCTTCCCTTTATATGATTGAACTTTATCATATTTATGTCATAATTTACAACTGCATCAGTCATAGCGTAAAAAAAATCAGTATTTTGAAGATTACTAATAAACCTTGTGCAATACAGTTGTAATCATTGTGACTACGATTACTACGACAGCTTTTGTCAACAACATCCGCCCCCCTATCGCCACGGGGTCTGTAAAGTGACCTATTTGCTTTTACTATTGAGTCGTCAGGTCTGAATTATGTGACGACCGCAAACTTGCGTTGATTAGCAACCAGAACGCTGATAAAAGCTCCGCTTACTGTCCAAAAATCCGTCATTTTTTTCTGCAAACCAAGCATTGATTAAGGGAACACTGCTAAAATAGCATAAAACAGTATTTTTTGCGCTGATCTCCACTGTCTAGATATATTGCTCAAAAAATAGATGTGCAACCAAGATATGTAGTTTGGAACATGAGAGTACAAGGAAACGAAACTTGATTCAGGTTATCGGTCCACAAGTTTTTCTTTTGCAAACTCTGGAAAGTCGTAACCTCCACCAGCTAAAAGTTGTTTTTCCGAGGTATTCTGGAGATAGAAAATCATGCGCTTTCTAGCGGAGCTTAAGGCAAAAAAGAAAAATGATTTTAGGAAATGCCAATTTTGTCGCAGATTTCTTCAGAGAATCTGGAATCGGCATCGCCAGCATCATCGATTTGATCGGATATATCTTCACAATCAGCAACAAGTTTTGATTCTCCCCAAGTTTCTGATTTTTTCCTAAGAGTCAACTTATGGCTGTTATAAACAGAAGTCATACAATATATATTTTGAGGTTAAAGCCAGGCTCGGTACTTGCGACTGCTAGTTTTCCATCCCTCGCTGGCTTTCTGGATGCGCTGAATTCAGCACTGTGCTTGAAATTTCCCAAAATTGCCAAAAAGTGCTTTCTATGGTGTCTTCCGGCTTTGGAGATTGCTGAAAGGGATGGAGGACAGATTTCCGCCAAAAACAGCGACTGGCTAGAGGAGACTAAATGGGTAAAGTAGCTCCACCCATTTTGACGGCATTTGGCTGATTGACTTAGGTGCCAATCACGCCCAGTTGGCAATCACTCCCAGCACCCTTCAGCAAGCCGAAAAACGCCACGACAAGCACATTTGAGAAGTCGAGAGATTTCATAGTACTGGACGCGCATCCAGAAGACCTAGGAGAGACGGAAAACTCGCAGTGGCAGTTTCCGAGTCACTGCCAACTTTCAGAACAAATCTTCAAATAAATGCAATGGATCAACCTGCTGGATAATTCTAACATTGAATGACACAATGATTATAGTCAACAACATGAGCGTCCTCAGTTTTGACCAAAGAGAATAACAGAGACTTGATTTAGCCACCGGCGCTAAATCTATTTTCATTAGTAATAACGCCCTCGAGTAGCAAGGATAGACGATTCTGCACCCATAAAACTCGACAAATTGATGAATTGTACAGATTCACAAACTTCGATTTTATGAGAAAAAAATTGTGAAAGTGTGGCATTTGAAATTTAGCTGAATATACTCTGACACCACACGATGAGTGAGTTGTTCCATACTAAATCTGCAGTAACAAAAATTTGGCAGACATTTTTTTTCTTTTTTCCTTCAACACCTAACTTGACGTGGACAATATTCAGACAGAGTTTAGTGCTTACAACTTAGAACATGTATAATTGCCGGAAGTAAAAGACATGAGATTGAAATTAGAAACCCACTTAGAGAGGATTTCAGAGTTTTTGTCGAACGAAGAATCTGATTATTGTCCAAAACTAATAATTTTCAGAGTAAATACGTTGCCAGTTTAGAAACTCAACGAGCTTCACACCAATAACAAATCACTTTCGCTTTTTGCCAAGATATCCCGTATATCACATTTATATAAAAAGTGGGCGTCTTTGTGAGCAAAACTTGTTCACTAAATCTCATGACATACCCAGAGCATTGGTGAAGGTTGAGCGGAAGTCGCTTTCTAAATAATTAGCAGAACCGACAGAAGCACACAAGCATTTATTATGCAAATGATACAAATATTACAACTATTGAGAGTGAAAAACACACCTATCACAAACATTGTTAGCTATCTGTGATTATTATACAGATACGCATTAATAACCTGAAAAACTGTCAATGATCTTAGTCCGATTGGGTGATGTTATAATCAGGGTACCGTTTCTTCAAAATGCCAACGGTTATAGAGTGATCCGCTTTACCGAATCCCTAAATATGTAGATGCCGATAGAGGTTGAAAATTTGATACGCAGAATGTTAAATCCGAAAGAACAATTTCAATGAAAATGGAAGGCGTCATGAGACATATATTTTTAAGTGCTCTTGAACACTCTCGGCTCTGAGTCTGCGTGAGTGCGAACATATGAGATCAGCTTGATAGGCCCAGTATAAGGGAACACTGTCAATTGAAATGATTTATCATTAGCGTACTGTCCGAATCGACGCTATATTCAATTTTATGCATTGAAGTTCGTGGACAAAAAACTCGTGCTATTTAGCAGTGTTTGAGACGCTACGTCAAGATTCAAAATAACAAATTGAAATGAGACCTGAGATTCGCCGAAAACTGTTATTTTCTTGTCCTCATGCTTGATCTTGCCACCCCCAACACACTTCAGATTGCATTCCGAACCGATAGCTTTCTCGACTTCTTTGAAGATGCCGTCATGATATTCGCATCTTGCATATCCACGGACTATATGTTTCTCTTCTCTTGATGAATCGTCTGTACACTGAAATAATGTTTCCTCAAAAGTCGTAATTTTACAAATGTTAATGTAATGTCTCTGCATTGCCAATAACATTTGCGCGTAAACAATGGCTACATGCGCACTATTCACCTTTTTACGCGCAACTTGCCGGCAAGTTGTCGGCAAACTTAGCACAGCATTTAATTTCGCGCAAATGTTGTCGTCGTAGCATAGACTTATACTAAAAGCCAAGTTTACGTTCACAACTAAATGCAACCGAAGAAGCCAGCATTTTGAAGGAACAACTAACCTTGATGAGTATATATTTGAAAGTTCCAGAAGAATCAATGTCAACGTCAGGAACATTGCTAAGCGGCATTGTGTGTGCTCTGAAAACTCTTCATAGCGAAACCTTTTCTGTTTTTGGTACGCTTACAAGTGTTCCATTATTGCTGCACGCATAAATGAAGTTATCAAAGGCTGATTTTTGATTGCAACTGAACGTCCAAAAACAGCTCGCAAGCACAACATCTTTTCTACTATGACTGCAATAAATTTTTCTTACGCTTCAAGCGTATTATATGGGCTAGGAGCACATAAAAATCCGCAAAAAGACAAAATGGGCCAAACTGAATGCTAAAGGCAAAAAAGTACCCGGCACACCCATGAAAAACAAACATTCATAGGGTAGACAACAAGAGAATTATCGATATATGTAAGTTGACAACAACCATACAGAACTGGATAGTAATAGATAAAAGTTTATTTGCAAATTACACAAAGTACATGTGTTTGAAATTTTCGAGGGTACGGCTATTACAATGAACGTCAACAAACCTTGCACGGGTTCAAACATCAACACGCCGGGGCAACATAAACAACTATGGTACTAGTAATGTCACTTAATTCAATCTTATTTTATTTTGTGTACTAGGCTGGTGTATAAACTGAAATATCCAACAAAAGATTTATCATATTTGAGCGAAAAAAAGGGTAAGACAACTCACGTTAAGATTGGGAAATTTCACCGTTAATATACGTCACGTTAGTTATGCGGATGAAATGCGTACGATGGACTGTTATCAGAATGATACTTCACTTTCATTTTCATTGGTACGCTTAAGGCGTTCCATAAAAAAAAACATATCGAGAAGTTAGCAATACAGCGGAATGAACAAGAAACGTAAAATTCAAAACTTACTTAAATCCAAAAGTTCAAAACTAGCTGAAGCTAGCTACGCTATATTCAATGAAAAAAATAATTGTGTCCACATTTTTGAAAATCACTATTTCTTCCTACCAAAATGAAAACTGCTTGCTTCAAACTCGTTTGCAAGTGTTACGGATCTTTTTGATGGCACATCAAGGGTCATAGATTCGTAACGCTTCTTGTTAATTAATTAATTAATTATTTTAATTAGCAGCACATAAGGCTTTTCTAAGCGAATATTGCAGTGATGAGAAAAATACGATCGCATAAGCTCCGATGATTTCAAGGGACTCGCCAAGAAATTCGAGAACGTTGAAGTAAATTAGAGCAGTCAGAACATTTTTCTTATTAAGCGAAATTTCCGCTAGTCGAAAATGCATCATGATTTCAGTGAAGAAATTACAAAACAACAAAATTGCTCTTTTACATCTCCTGAAAGACATGAATTTACTTAGGAATGTTTAATTAGCCAGACATTCTAGTTGGTACCAGAATCCTGATAAGTGTGGATCCAACGGTTTTTTCTTCTATATAAAAGGTTGACTCTCTCCTCCGGTGTCCTCCCGGGTGCTAGCGATGTTCACCTTATGTTATTCATCTCAATGCAACATTTGAGTTTCAATGAACTTGCTTGAAATTACTAGAGCAGGCTGCATCCATAGACCATTTTCGTAAGAAAGATATTCTTGTTTGACTTGAGCCACTTTTAGACAGTGAAATATTTTGTATTGCAAAACATACTTCACACAAACAAATTAGAACTCATCTGCATAATTCTTCCAAATGACTAACGCTCTGGTAAATCGAAATTGAGTAGCTCAGCAAACAGAGACCAGCTATTTATTACATTTGCCACTCACTGAATTTTTTTGAAGACATGTAACAAGCTCTTTGATCACATGTAGCAAACATCGATAACAAATATTAATAACCTTCGTCCGAATAGGTAATGTGATAATCAGGATATCGTTTTTTCAAGATGTCAACAGTTATGGTGTGATCTGCTTTTCCATATCCCTGAAAAATACAGGTATATATATAATAAAAATCTGAAAACTGCAAGATTTTTGTTCCGAAAAATAAATCAAACAAAAATAATTTCGTTAAAGCGTTTTTGAAAATTTTGCAATTTGAGGCATTAATGAAAAATAAGAATGTGTACGAAAATAATCAACGCATGCGGATTAAGGGCAGCATAAAGGTGAAGAGAAAAGATCAGACAATTTCAATCATACAGCCACTGGATTGTCTAGAGATCAATTTTGAATCCTTTTACCGCAAAATGGTGAGACTTCATATAAAAGCAAGATCTACGAAAACCAAACACAAATATGCGAATACTCCAACGCGAGTCTTCGCTCCATTCTAGACGAGCCTTCCATTTACTCATCATTTAATTGCACATGATATTAACTGCGCTTGCTGTTTTTTCGACGAAGATATAAGAAAACCTACTGGGCCTTCAAACGCGTTTTTTTTGGATTTTGCATGCCCGTCTGTTATTCAACTACTAGCGCAAGACTTTATTATAATTATGATTGTACTTCTGGAAATTTTAGTATACAGACACGTTAAGAGGATCCCAGTCGGCGTTTCCAATATACGCTCACGGTTGTTTTGACTTTTAGCATTCAGAAATAAAATACGAAGATCATATTAGGCTTCTAAAAAAATAGAAACACTGTCTGTCGTTGACATTTAAGCTCCATATGTCCGACGATCTGAGTACCACTTCGTGGTACTGCCTTCAACTTGGATTTACAGCATAGAACAAATCACAGATCGCGTCACTATTGTAGGACTACGGTAGTTAACTGGAGAAGATTAGGCCATAAAGGCATACTTTGCCTTACAAGGGAAGCATGCTTAGTCGAAGTGGCCTTTTTAGATGGGATGTACACCATGTTATAGGGCATGAGAGCTAATTCCAAATCTGCCTTCCATATCTGCGGAACGTTTATGGACGAGGAGTTATGAGCGCTTATTGGAGCGAAAAAATGAATGTGCAAGAAGGACAAAAATATCCGTTATACTTTTTTCTAGCTCTTCACTGGAGCACTGGCAATCATCAGAGCACTTCATTCAAAAATACTCTAAAATAAATGCACCACACTTATTGCATTATTTGAGGACTAGTAAGATTTTGGCAACTCATGTTAACCGAATGCATTCCAATATTCGCTATAATAAACTCTCAAAACTCCTCGCCCAAGAATGTTCCGCAGATAAGGAAGGCAGATTTGGAATAAGCGTTTTATACCCATAATATGGTATACATTCCATTAGAAAGGCCACTTTGACAAAACAAGCTTGCCTTGTTAGAAGAAAAATACAAACAAATATAACCTTTACGCTAGGCTAGACAAGTCGCTGATCCAAATAAGGAATTCGTACTTTACCGCAATGCTTCATTCATAGGTTAAGTTGGGAAACATTATGCTGCAGAATACGGTCATACCATATATAAAGTTCGAAAACCTAAAAAAACTAAGGTGCGTCAAAAGTCTGGAAGCCTAGTACTTTTTCTTACAAAATGAGAAGGGAAGTACCTAGAAACGAAAAATTTGGCGCAGACATATTTCGAACCATTGCAGATGCAGCCCAGTTCTTGAATTGCAAAATTGCCTCTTTTGGCTTCCACGCGGCCCTACAAAATCTTGGCAAGTCCACCTGTCAGGCACGCAGGTAGTCGTAACGAAATTTGCCCCATGCCTTCACAATAACTGCTTCTTTTTTGGCAAATTTGCAACACGATAGAGCAAGCTTTTATCTACAACACACTTCCAAAAAGATTTTTTGCATTGCTTAGAAATAAAAATATTGGATTTTTAATTAGAAGCAGTTACGTCGCATTCCGGAATTTCGGCTACAACTGCGTGAAAATGAACTTAAAATTATCGTTTAAAAAGCATAAAAAGTGTTCCCATGGCAGAATTTCATTAGATTCTAATTTAGAAGACGTATTCAAAAAATATAGCCTTGGTTCCAGTGCCTGTTGCGCTTCTATAGCTTTTAAATTTGTTCTGAAGACGGATTTCCACTGGCACGCAGGTAATATTCGCAAACATGTATTTTCCGTTTATGCAGAACAGCTTCTGGCAAAAGCAAAGCTACAATCCAATAGCGCAAAGCCTCTTCTATATTGTGTGCATCGAAGTGTCGTAAAATATTAACAGTATTTCTAGCTATAGCAAAAATTGTAAATACCAAAAATTCTGGTTTTTTCGCTTTGCAAAAGTACTAGTTTAATTTCCAACTTTACAAAAACATATGGCAGCGATTCTCAGCCAGATAAAGTGTATTTTGTAGAGGATGAACGCAGCATCATGTGGCATAAAACTGGAATCAAAACCATAAATACCTTTGTAATTGCAATACTGCAAAGTCAGGCTCCCAGACTTTTGACGCATCCTGTAGTATCGAGATTAGCACTAAATCAATCAGCAATTATAAAACTTAGTTAGACACTTTACAGATTTCTTTTTTGGGAAGTTTTGGAAATATCCATAGTGGCGAGTCTAAGGAAGCCGGCTTTACAAAATGCTGCCTGAAGAGCAGCGAAAAGCACCAGAGCAGCAGAGATATTGAACAGGCCGTTCGAACAGTGTGCAGGGACAGCCTGTTGAATAGACGTTTGTGCATTTTATACATGGTATGGGTGATCAAGTAGAAAGTTCTTGGAATTTTTGAACCGAAACTCGAGTTTTACTTAATCAATTTCGATGTTGGCTTCAAATTTGTGATTTATGTGGATAGGCGGTCATCTTCTAGAGTTTGCATTGCCTTATCGAACATGCGTCTCATTGTTCTTTTTTATTGCACTGCAGCGGTAGAATGAGCAATGGCAACTACTTTAGCAGACGAATAACGTATTAGATTCTCGCAGGATGAGAAGTGAGATTATAAATCCCAAGTGATTATGATTTAGATAAAAAGCAAAGAATGACTGGCACAAGACTCGTGTGCAATATGTAATTTATATGCTGAGCAACAGTTTTAACCATAGAGATTGAGTTCAAGTTGAAAAGAAACCTGAGAATAGCCATAGACAAATAAGTCCTTGTTCCCATGCTTGATTCTACCACCTCCGACACATTTGAGTTTACATTCCGATCCAACAGCACCGCGTACTTCTTGGAAAATATCGTCATGAAAAGTGCACCTTCCATATCCACGCACTATGTGTTTCTCTTCCTTTGATGAAGGATCCGTACACTGGAATGATGTTTCATCACAAGGTGTGAATATGTAACACCCATAATAAAATGATGATCAGATTGAACAAGTGAGCATTGGAAGGTTTTGAATGAACAAAAACTAACCTTGATGAGCACATACTTGAAAGTTCCGGAAGGATCGATGTCTACATCAGGAACATTGCTGAGAGGCATAGTGACTCTAAAATTTGTACAGCAGTGCCATTTCTGGTTTCATAAAGTTTACAGTTGTTTTCTAATAAGTCCGCGACAAATGAATGAAATTATAAAAAAGGCTATTTACCGACTGCGGTAGATACAAAGTCAAACAAAGCTTATTTTTGCTATCGGCGTCGAAAGAAAATGAAGCCAAATTAATGTTTTGAAAACCGCAGAGGGACAAGCTGGATAATGACGGCACGGCACGCACCATAGTGTAAACTTCCACGATCGTCAAGAATGTAGTGGAATAAAATCAAATGAGGTAAGATTAAGGATAGACAATTATGCAGAACTCCATGGATTTGGACAAGTATTTATACAGTATTTATTAAGCTAGCCATATAAAACTGTAACAGTGACTAAAACTTCAGAAGACACGTCTACAGCTACCCTAACTTCACGCGTATGGGACGCGAGGGATTTTTTTTTTCAAGTCGAACAGCACAGACACGCTGGAGGACTTCGCGACTAAGAAACTATTTACATTGCTGCATTGCCTGAGGGTATCGGCAACATGAGTCTCGTTTTCCGAAACGCAACGAGGCGGCTTGGCGGCATGCTTGAGAAACCGAAAAAGGTGGATCTTATACGCGTGAAATTAGGGTACTTAAATTAGGGAATTAGGATCATCATCTACAAATCACATGTGAAACACCGGTTATGAATTATCCATTCCGATAATATTAACAATGATAATTTTGCAAATAATATAAAATATCTGTTCCGATAATACTAACAAAGATAATTTCGCAAACAACACGATGATGGTGTCTAATAGCTACAAAACGAGAATGTGGATATCTACTAGTAACCTTCATTTGAATAGCTGATGTGGTAATCGGGATAGTGTTTTTTCAAGATGTCAACAGTGATGGAGTGATCCGCCCTACCGTAAGCCTAAACAGTGTCTAAGTAAGAGTGTATAACAGAACAAATCGAGTGTACAAGTATGACTCCAGCTGAAGGACGTGACGTAGCCAGCCCCGCCTTCGAAGAATTTTTGTGACTTTGAATTCTTTTGCTGGGCTTATAACCCTAATTCTAGAAAGAGTAGAAAAGGTATTTCAAAGAGCTGATTCGAAAAATCTACTTTCGTCATGATCATTCACAAGTGAAAGTAAGCTACGCTGTTTTGTAACTAAAGTAGGCTAATTTCAAAAATTTGGCTATACTCGGAGGTGGAGGTGTAATCCCTTCAATTCTGGACCGATCCTGATCAAACACGGTACACAACTCTTCGAGGAGGGGAGGGGAGGGGGTGAAGGGTGTCATAAGCTATACTTTTCGTTGTCGATTCATATCGACTGACGGATTTTTCAGCGAAGCATAACTGTTTAAAAATGCCAGATTTTAGAAAACTTTAAAGATGAGACTGGACTCGGTACGGGGGGAGGGGGGGGGGGTAGGAAGAGGTTGAGAGATAACTAGTCGGTGCTAAAGTTTTGTCCGTTTTCTGGACCAATCCGCAAATCAAGCAGAGTAAAGATAAACGAGTAGTTCAACCAGTAGTCAATGCAGAATTCTTCCTCTTTTCACAGCGATATTCGAGACATGATTATCCTGACAAGTGCTGAGACAATCGCCGAAGTTTGTGACCCTTCATTTTTGACTTGCTGTTTCGCTCATTTTTGGAACATTTATTGGAAATTTCCAAGGAAGGTGTGATAGCCAGCAGATAAGGCAAACCACTCAATAATTGATGTATTTAGTAATTTTCTGGCATATTTTCAATATATACCAAAATACATTTCTTGAAGCGACCAGATGTACTTGCCTCTTCTGATCTTATAAAACACTAGCTGGCTTACCCGGTTCCGCCGTATGTTCCGAATAGAAAATTCCATTTCTTAACCGATCCGGACCAAACTTGGCACACATACACTTCGGGCCCCGGCGGGTGTCACAGGCTATTTTTCGTCATCGATCGATATTGATTTTATCGATTTTTTGCAAAATTTGAGCTAGGGGGCTGGAATTTGGCAGAGGGGTGTAAAGCAGCCTATGACACCCGCCGGGGCCCGAAGTGTATGTGTGCCAAGTTTGGTCCCGATCGGTTCACAAATGGAATTTTCTATTCGGAACATACGTACAGACAGACAGACAGACATTCAGCTTTATACATAAGATGGGTACCATACAATACAAAACTTCTCCTTTTTCTGACAGCTATCTTTTCTTTGCGATACATGCAAAGTTTGCAGTCAAAATCGCCATTACGAGTGCGCACTGTTACTAGGAATTCCAAATCAAATATTCAGGAGCGATGACCTCTCGTTTATTTGCAAAGTTAGTAGATATTATGACTGAGTATTGAAACATTTTTTTGGAAGTCTGCAGCGTTTCGTGCAGTCCTGTATGCGTTTTTTTTTCAAAACCAAAACTTCTAGACAATTATTTAGCAAAATTTCAAGAGGAAAGGTGGTGAAATACAAAAAATTGCATCAGCTTGCAGAGGACATGCCCTTATCGCTAACAAGCTCTTCCAAAAGCCTCAAACGAAAATCAAATTGATAAGTAATGACAGGTAATAAATAATAAATAAAAGAATTGGATAAGTCAGACATGGTAAAAATAAGGGCTGTAAGCTTCGGTGATTATCTCAGCGCCCGTCGGAACAGTAGCGTTGCAAACACAACAGATGAAAAGTTAAAGAAACCCTACATGGATACCGTTTGAAGAATTGGAGAAGACGGAAAGAGCTTTTGCACCTATTAGTCGCGAAAACTTTGTAAAAGGACCGTTGCTTTTATCGTTTTATAGTTTTTCGAAAGGGGAGGTGGGGCAGTTCATCATTGGACTAAAATCGCCTACTTCATCACATCGAAGCCAGAGTAAGTTAGGTGGGAGTGAAGGCTGGTGGTTGTGGCGCGAGCGGTCAGCCCACGATCGCGATCAGGTATTCTTTGTACTCCCTATGTAGTTTTCTATATCCCCATGGCAGTGTTAGTATTACGCCTTTGATTTCATTTCGTTTACCTGCTTCATTCAGTTCCTTCGATATACTCACGTAGTACATGGATGGGGCATCCAACGCAAATTTAGGGGGTGATTGGTTCATTGGCTCCACCAATCACATCGAAGGGCTGGCCGTTCGCGTCACACCCATTCGGCAATCGTCATCCCAAAAAACGGAACCTTTTGACATTTATGAAGGCTGTAAAACCCGAAATCAAAATGGCTAATCAGTCACTACCATATGAAAAAGCTAGGACTGTTTCACGATTGAACAAGATTTCAGAACAAAATGAACTTACGTGAGAGTAGCCGTAAACTAATATCAACTTTGCAGCGTCTTCATGTTTGATCCTGCCACCTCCAACGCATTTCAATTTACATTCCGAACCAATAGCATCACGAGTTTCTCTCATGATACCATTGTGAAAAGTGTGTCTTCCATACCCGCGAACTATATACTTCTCATTTTTTGATGAGTTATCCGTGCACTGAAACAATGTTCTGCTAATCTTTGTAAGCATTCTGCTAAAAACGGGGGGGGGACCAACCCTGATCAGTATATATTTAAAAACTCCGGAGGGATCGATGTCCACATCTGGAACGTTGCTGAGCGGCATACTAGTGTGTACTCTGAAACTAGAACTAATAAAACTAATCTCGTTTTTCTTCTAAGGGATCGGCCATACTATTCCTGCTATTCCTACGATTCCTGCGATTCCTGTGATTCCCGCACAGTTTATACAGTCTGCCCCAGTCCTAACCAGGCCAAAACCGGCATAGCGGGAGTCCGCGTCGAGAGACTTTCGCGCCACATCTGCGGCTAGCTTGTCTGCTCTCTCCTCATTCTCTTCGCTCTCTGCGACAGCGCGCGTATGCAGCGCAAACCCCTAGCGTTGCGAGCGCGCAAATGCAGCCAACGGTTCGGCCTGATCCCGATTGGGGCAGACTGTACAGTTTTCACAGTTTAAATGAGCGCGTGTTGCGTGTTACGTGTTGTTTTACGCAACACGCGCTCATTTAAGCGGCGTCTCGGCGTCTAAACGTGCGGGGGTGGAGGACATTAGGTCGCCGAAAGAGGGCGGTCCCCGCGGTCATTGGCGACAAATACGCACCTTTGTACATGCGCGGACATGCGTTCCTACAGGGAATCCGCGCGGGACTCTTCCAAATTCGGCGACCTAATGTCCTCCACCCAACGTGCGGGAATCACAGGAATCGCAGGAGTCTTAGGAATAGCAGGAATAGTATGGCCGATCCCTAACATGCTTAAAGGTCTTCAATGTACGCAATAAATATAATGAAATCAAATGGCAGCTGTTTGTAATTTGGTGAAAACCTTTAGGACACTAAAGCACAGAAGAAATTGAGATAAATACTCGATGCAGCATCGTGACCAGCACATCAGTGATGCAACATTCCAAATGAGAGAATTACATACACCTTCCAAACGCAGAAAAAAGTTGTTTACAAAGTGGGGTTCATTCAACGGGCTACTGCGTAGGATTTGTATTTCTAAAAAGTCAACAAAAAGAAAAAAACGTGTAAACCAATTTTCTTCCTCTTGCCAACTAAGGTAATCCAGTCAAAAGTCGAAATAGGCCTTCCAAATGAAATTTATACCAATCAGAAGAGCATTAAATGCTGATTTCAAAACTGTCTTTTTTGCCAAGCGCGTCTATAGTCTGTCTCAATCCCAATCAGGTCAAAATTGGTATAGCGGGAGTTCGAGTCGCTGGGGTTTCGCGGTCACGCCCACGGCCTGCTTATCTGCTCCCTCTTCGATCTCCTCGCTCTCTCCAACAGCGCGCATATGCAGCGCAAACGCCTAATGTTGCAAGCGCGCGAATTTACGCCGAGGGACCGGCCATACTATTCCAGGAGGTGATTCCTGCAACTCCTAAAATTCCTGCAATTCTTGTGATTCCTCGACTTCCGATGTGCCGCACTATGGAGCGCTTTGCAAATTTCAGTACACGTTGTTTTTCGCAATATACATTGTTACGGGACCCGCAGCAATCGCAAGAATTGCAGGAATCACAGGAATAGCATGGCCGATCCCCGACGGTTCGGCCTGATTTCGATTGGGGCAGACTGTAGACGCTGAGTCATGAATACTTGAAGCGAAAAATGATAGCAAAACCTAGAAAATTAATAGTTATAGTCTTTCCACGGCTCAAATATAAAAGTGTTGAGTACGAGTACATTGAGCAACTGCATCGGGTTCTCATATATCCAATGCTGGCGTCATTTGCGCAGTCTTACACGGATTTGCTCTCATTGCGCTTTCAATTTTTTGAGCCAAGCAATGCCCTAACTCAGCGTCTAGAGGCACTTGGCAAATAAAGAGACAGTTTTGGAATCAGCGTTTCATGCTCTTCAGGTTAGTATATAATGCATGCAAAAAGCTGAATCCAACTTTGGTACTCCCCTTGTAAGTTTACAAGAAGTGCAGATGTGCAGAAGAAGAGAGCATATTGTTTGATGATTCAGGTAGTGAAAGCAACGCTGCGACCGCCAATCAAGAGAAGGGCAAAAAAGTCGCCATGGAGTAGCAGATGGGTCAAGTGTGAGAAAAAACCCGTTAGGCAAGAATGTCCGTGCACATTTCCACTGCAGCAGAACACGGCAAAAGTCTTACAGCCTTTAGTGCAAAGAAAAATCAATTTGTGCATTGTTAAACATGTTTTCATGCAAATTACAAATGCTTGCAAAATTTACCGTGCTCTGTTTCCAGTGACAGCCATTCTTGCATACTCCCCTGGTAAATTGTCTAGCTTCGATGTTGTCCTTAACATGGCGCATAAGACTGATGCCATCAGCGACATTCGATCCATTTTCTTTTGGCGCATCGCGAAATATTTTCCTGCAACATGTCGCAAAGGACAACCTTGCCGCTTCCTCTTTAGCGGCGTTTTGTAATGGTGTATGGCAAAATTCCAGGATGATTTTGAAGAAGCCGAAAGAATTTCTCTAGAACATGTTATGCTGTTTGGGTGAAATTTATTTCCGTGCGCTTTGTAATAGCTGATTACGCTTGAATTTCTCTAATGTGTGCCCGTGCATTGCGGGCACCTCTTTCTTGCCGTCTTGGTGATTATCATCTGTCAATTTGGCAGACGGTAGAATCTGTTCTTCTACCTATTTAACTGCATTCACTTGTGCTTTCTTAGGTCATCCTACTGATCCATGAGGCTTTGAGCAGTATTGCTCGCTAGGAATTCAAGCACTATGACTGGCCTCACAATGGACTCGGCGATGCGCCGATTTCAAGATGTAAGTTCCCACATTTACGTGACACACAAATCATGATCGCATTTAGATCCATAGCATGTCGCAAGAGGCGATTGAGACAATTTCTCTCTGGGTCATGCATTACAAGGACAAAAAGTCTATCGATATAATCGTTGAAGCATGGCTTGAAAGTTTCAAAATCGGTGAGTTTTTGAGAAGTTCCTCCAGTCCAGCGTTTGATTGATATTCTGAAAATTTCCTTCCTTAAAAGTGATTCATATCTTCTTGTATAATCTGCTGCATTCAATCACAGTTCTGTCCATTGGTCCATGTTATCTTGGTAGATCGAAGCTTAAAGGAAGCGGCTCGGCAGAACTTCGTTTTCCAAGTTTTCACCTTTTCGGGGCCTTCTAGTCATAAGGAACCCATATCTGGCTTTTCAGCGCATGAAAATGGTGAAAATGAGCTTTTTTTCGAGTTTTCCAGATCGAATTCAGTGAAGGTACGCCGGAAAAAAGCCGCGTCCCACCTTCCTCGTTCCACACTCGCCCAATTCTCCACTGAATGCGGACCTAGAAAGCTTCTGAAAAAGTTCATTTTCGCCATTTTCATGCGCTGAAAAGCCCAGATATGGGTTTTTCATGGCGAGAAAGTCCCGAAAAGGTGAAAATCTGGAAAACGAAGTTCTGCCGAGCCACTGCATATAAATCTCCAGCCCCTTTGCCGCGTTCAATCGTCCTTTTAGGCACTTGGGCGGGGTTGAAAGTGTATTCTGTATGTTGCAACTGACTTCCTCTTTCCGTCATTTTCTGATATGAGACCTCCAACACTATTTCTAGCCAAGAAGGACGAGCAGCGCATCGCATTATTCTACGTAATGAACGATGTTGTTCAACGAGCCAAAAACAAGCATATGGATGTACTTATTCCTGCATTTCAACCTGCAGTACTTAGCGCTGTCACGATGGGGAAGTAAGTTTGCAGCTTGAAAAGCTTGGCTTTTTTCATGTTTCCTAATGATTATGCTATCAGAGGTTCACCAAGTGTCAAGCAAGTGATGAGTCGATGTATCGATATTTTTGGTGAACGTCAAGTCTTTACGGAAGCTAGTGTTAATGTCATGAAGAATATGCTGCGTATGATTTTGTCCAAGGAAATTGAAAAATCACATAAGTCTTCTGTTTTAGAGTCTGAAGAGAATGGAGAAGGGGATGAAAGTTTTGCTGAGTTAGACGCGGAAGAAGTTTACAGGAAAATCGAACTTTTCGAACGCGTATGTTACCTTGCCCTTTGTATGTTTCATATTTATACATCGAAAATTTCAGGGACGGCTCATTGTCAACCGTGGCATGGAAGTGATTAGAAATGGCGATTTCGACTGCAGGGCGCTGATGAAAGAGCGTATGAGAGGCACGTTTTTTCTCTGCTTTTTGATATATCCATATTACACTAATGTTCTTCTGATTCATAGATTACACATGTTCTTATTGTTATAAACTTTTTTTCCGTTGCATTGTTTGCACGTTTTGCATCCGGCAATTAAATTATTGTGTCAAAGCTCCCATAATAACAAAGTCCATCAAATGCCATATATGTTTGTGGCTGAAAGAAGCCGTTTCACTTTCATTTCAAAAAACATACTTGTAGACCGGACTGTAGCTGCACAGCTAGTGATGGAAACTCAGCAGGTATCAGTTTGTTTGATAATTCTTAGCGTAACACAAGTTTACATTTCTAGGTTCTTAGTCAGATAACATCCTTCCGTCATTCTATGGAGGAGCAAAAACGGAAAATGCTGCAACTTATCGAGACCTTGGAGCTAGCCAAACGAAATTTTTCTCATCAATTGAAGGACGTTACTGTAGTAGAAGATGTAAGCATCCGCTTTCATCGGGTCTTGCCCTTCCTCTCAAGTCTCAGCTTCTAATTCGTTCAGGCATATCAGAAGTACTTCCAAGGGATTCAAGAAGTACATGCCGATCTGCTTGTGAGTTGCTCGAGCGTTCATTGTCTCTTCTTATCCCTTCACTGTTTAGGAGATGGAAAAGTCCGGAGTCTATCCTGCCGCGACTCCTCCTCGAGATGCTCCCTCTCCGACAGCGAACGATGACATATACGCTACTGGAGTTGAGAATGCACTGCAAAGTAAGTTTACATTTTTTAAATGTTAGTTGGCACTTCAATAGCATGCAATTTGATTCATTCTCAGTCCATGAACTGCTCATCTTAACTATCATTTGAAGTGTCTCATCCACATTTTACTACACGGCTTAACCGAGCTAGTGGTGGTATTATAGTTGTCTGTCTTCAGTGCTCGTAAGCATTCGAGATTATTGCCGTGATGTCATCATTATATCATTTTTGATGAGTGGGTATCAATAGCAGGACAGAGGCTCTCGAAAAATAGATAGCGGAGAAAGCGCGTATACCCATTTTGATGAAGGAAAGGAGAAGTTGTGAAAGTAATTAATAAAGGTTCGGCACTCATTCTCCCTCTTTATATTTCGACTTTGCAGGTCTGAGTTTTGATCAACATGGTATGCTTGATGGCTGCGGGAATTTATATATCTCAGTCATTCAGTGCTAAATAGCGCTGTATGGAAAGTCAGCCATACAGCGCTATCTAGCGCTGGGTGCTACTTCTGCTCAAAGGAAAGCACTTTCACTAAAACAATGGTTTTTTTTTCAGATTTCCGTTCAACGGGAGCTCGAGACAATTTGGAATCAGCAGATATGGAGCTGGATGATGATTCGGCTCCCATCGACGTAGGTGGTACATCTCCCTTGACCGGCAGTCTTCCACCGCCTCCTGCTCCTCCCGTCGTACTTGAAGCTCACCCACCTGGTACTGGTCATCAAGCACATGCGACATCCAATGGAAACGCTGGTAATTCAGCGTCTTGCAAATCCAATTCACCAGTATCTTCATTCAGGTGTTCTTCCTTCCACTTCCACAGCTCCGTCATTCCAGTTACCCCAAGGCTTTGGAACTGCGCAGGCAGCCTTTGCTCCTCTAGCGAACATGTCAGTACCACCTCCGAATTCTAGCCAGCCACCTCCAGGCTATCCTCCAGCTGTTTCTCAGCCGCCTTCGAATCTTGTGTTACCTCCCTCGCTCACCTCCCAACCTCCTCCTAACATCCAAGTAAGTATATTCAGAACTGTTGTAATCGCGATCAATTATCACCTTTGAGGCTCTCCTGAAATCTATACCCAGCCTTCAAACTATACAACAAGCTACTGCTGCAGCGGCAGCAGCTGCCGCAGCGTCTACTAAAACGCAGAATGCATCAGTGAGTTTTATTTTTTCGTTTATCTGTTATTGTCTGCTAAATTATGATTCTAGCCCAATTTTCCTCCCCCCATGCCACAAAGATTTGGGGATGTGGATGAGCGAATGAAACCGCCTGTTCTCCAACCAGCTTCTCATGCTGCTGGCCCTACATCAAATTACCATCAAGTGCAGCAACCTCCCCCGGCTCCTCTAGCTTCTGCATCTTTAGCTCCTGCTCCTCTAGCTCCTGTTCCTAATTATCATCAACAACAACCGATCCCCCGTCAACCTCCTTATGCTGAGGAAGGGCCTTCGCATATAGATTACCAGAAATCTGGCTCTGCTGACTATGGTAATAGCGACATTCTCTGGGCCCCATTCGAAATTTGTTCGATTCCAAAATATCTTCAGAGCAGTATAATGGCGAAGAACAGTACGCAGACGGAGACAAGGAATTTTACAATCAGCCTCCTTCTCAGTTTCAAAGCAATGCGTTCCCGTCTCATAATCGGGGCAGACCGCGCGGTGGAAATTTTTATCGAGGAAGAGGTGAACACTGGCGAAAACCGTGAGTTTCACATAAATGTCCCATTCCTCTTTCTTTTCAAATATCCACGACTTTTAAATGCAAGAATATCAACCTTTGCCTGTGCTCAGCTTAACTGGATAGCATGTATATCTCCTGGCTACATGTCTTTTCTGCATGTTTGGTAATTTTTTATTTCCGTGTGTTCGCGCAGCGGAACATTTAAAGAATGAGGATACTGATATCTAGAGCTTGGGCATTCTGGAGGAATATGCAGCACACTCCTAAGTGTGCTGCATATTCCTCCAGAATGCCCAAGCTCTAGATATCAGTATGCTAACGTAAAAATACTTTTATCGACTGATAGGGCCTGGAATTCAAGATTTACTCACTCGTCATCCTCTTTTTGTTGTAGGTTGAAGGTTGAGAAAAGAGATGAGCTGCTCCATCTGTTTCTGTTTGTAATGCTTGAATTCTGGTAGCGCATTTTATTTTGGGCATACGAAGTTTGCTCCCATCAAAACGCGTCTTTGAATGCAGTTTACTGAAATTGCAGCATATAGATGTAGAGTGCGAATGACTACATCTATCGAAATTGAGGAAAGCACTTTAGTGGATTACCGAGGATGCTATTTACAAATCTTGGCTCAAAAAGTCGTCGAAACTCAAAATTCGGTCTATTTCGCTTTGTTCGTTCTGAGCGCGGCTTTCATTTGGCTCACGATAAAATGCGACTCACCAGCAAAAAGAATCCTGAAAAACTTCCGGATTTGGGTGTTATGCTTTCCTCTTCTGATTGATCAACCGTCAAACTTTATTCTGAAAAATTATGTGACCTTTCTTGTTGCTTTAACAGCTCATTTCTTGTGCTTGTAGAAACGATTTTCGTGGGGGACGTTTTGGAGGATCTAGAGGAGGTGGATTCAATCGCGGACGAGGAAACTATCATGGCGGTGGTGGATATCAGGGTGGCAGTTTCCAAAGAGGACGTGGACGAGGGAGTTGGGGTCGAGATGATCATTAGATTATGTGCAGAAGTCAGTTTCAGATCATTAGCGGGTGCGTTGCTGATGTTCTTGCTGTATAACAATATTCAAGCGGCGCTTTCAGGTCGCATTCTCACAATCCTTAGGTCTCTCATCTTTGTACAACTTTGTAGCGCTATTTGAAAACGCACTTTTGCGGTTATTGTATTGTATGCATTTGTTTGTTTAAGCTTGTTTAAGAATTGTATCTGTTACAATAATTTTAAGAGATGTCGATATAAGAATGATATTGCAACTGTATCGCTCTTTGAGTGTCGAACATTCCACGCCTATAAAAGATCTTACTTGCTTCTCGTTACAGTAACGCTGGACTAAATTCACCACGAATTTCTTATCAAGTTGACGTACTGCATTTTGTAATCTCGATTAGAACAGGCATGATCCTGATGATAGATGAGGACGTAATCGAGAAGCGCGAAGATGCGGTGGACTATGATTTGCCTGAAATGGAACGAGTTGACGCCTGTGGCATTATTCGTATTCCAAAAACGATTGTACTCGACTCACCCGTCAAGAACACTCCAGAGCAGGTTGGTAAAGTAGCACATGCTGTTAAATTCTTGCAAGATTCAGTTCAGATTGCGATGAAGCGAACCTTCTGGCGAGAGTTTATGAATAAGCATGAAGTAGTAAAAATTGTTGCTCCAATGGTAGACCAAAGGTGGGTCGGATATTGCCTCGTTGATTGGGAATGGCTAATTGAATGGCTAATTGATGTTTTCTAGTGAACTTGCGTTTCGCATGTTCATGCGTAAATACGGAGCTCATGTGACCGTAACGCCGATGATACATGCTCATCTATTTGTAAATGACAGTACCTATCGCAGGAATGCTTTAGCCTTATGTGAGGCCGATCGTCCCCTCATAGTACAAGTAAGCAAGGATTTTCGCGAAATTTGCCCTCATATATAGTTTCAAAGTCTTTCAAGTTTTGCGCAAACAAGCCTGATACCTTTTTGGCTGCTTGCCGTCTTGTCGAAGGGTACTGTGATGGTGTCGATTTGAATCTTGGCTGCCCGCAAATGGTGGCCAAGAAAGGGCGCTATGGAGCATATTTACAGGTTTGTTCTCTAACTGTACATTGCGCATAGTTATGCTTACTTGCATACTCTCACTGCATGATGTTGCTTGCGAGACATGAACGTAAATAGTTTTTGAAAGAGGGATTTTACTCTCAAAGCAAATTTTGAAACAACTGGTTCTTCGAGAAAACAGCTTTAAACTTACATTTTAGGATGAAGTTGACTTGATTTGTTCAATGGTTTCGGCAGTACGAGATTACTGCTCTTTACCTGTGTCGTGTAAGATACGCATACGCAATTCTCGCGAGCAAACATTGGAGTATGCTCGTCGACTTGTAGAATCAGGAGCTACAATGTGAGTTGCACATTTTCATGTCTGTACTACGACTGGAGGGGCGACTTAGGCAATTTGATCAATGGGTTGTGATGTACTGTAAATTTGAGTTGAAGCTGGCTCTTCCACATGATAGGTCAGGTACCGCGAAACAAGAAAGCAGTTGATGAAACGGTGAATACATATTGGTTTTTTGCTGTAGCTAAGCCAAGATGGCATGATCTTTTTATTGATGGCTGACGAGGATGGCGACTGCACCACAACCGGAGTAGTTTACCTGATAACATGTGTCTCGTGTAATAAGGTGTAGGTATGTTGGGGAAACAGGGCGAGCTCTTTCAGTTCGGATCAAGGAACATCTGGACGACCTTAGGAAGTCAAAATCCTGAACGCTTTTGGAAGCGCACCGCCAAAGGAGCCACGACGATGCTATGTTTGATATTAAGATCACGGTCTTGTCGTACGAATCGGAAACTGTAGCTCGCGAAACTCTCGAAGCGTTTTGGATAATTGCAAAAAGTCTAAAATTAAACAGGAAAGAAGAATGATAACTGTGACAGAAGAGCTCGCATCCTACCACAACTCATGTAATTTTGACCTGACTCAGTAAAGATGCGTTGGCGGGCCCTCGGGCTTTGAAGGCAGCAGCTGCCAAAACCGAACATCCCCAAATTTTGACATGGAAGGCTGCTTGCACCCCAAACATGAGAACAGAGCAGGCCCGAGCGCACAGCATGCTGTCCTTGCCTAGAAAGCCCCGTTACGCGCAGGCCATTCTAATACGCGCAGATGAGTTTGCGATTCTCCCTGACCCATCAGAGAAGACATGCCGCATTGGTAGGTGCCAGAGTAAGCGAATATTTTGTTCAAGTTGGGGTCCCGCGCAGAATTGACGTCACTTGGATTGACGCATCATGGTGAGTGACGTACATTCTGCGCGGGACCCCAACCTGAACAAAATATCGCTTAGGTTGTGTTCATACTGATTCCGAAGTTCGGGAACAGTCCCAGCACAACGCTCAGTTCGAGCACTGTGCTGGAACTGTTCCCGGATTTCGTAATCAGTATGAACGCAGCCTTACTCTGGCACCTACCATTGTTATAAGTGCGAGGGTCCCGCAACGATCCTGCCTCTATCCATGGCGGGATGTGCTCCACTCGTCCAAATTATTAATTCACAATGGGAGGCCTTGGGAAATGGTGCTTTTTGCCATATTCGTGCTCTTCAAGGTGGATCTTCGGAATCAGAACCTCGAATTACCCCATGTAAGCAAAAAAAACTTCGAGTCGAGAATCTGCCGAGGTCTAAATATGCGCAATATTCGCAGTGACTAATCACTTCCTCTCATACGGGTGGTCTTGGCTTTAAAAACCGCTGTATTACGGTGAGCGTTGCTTTGTCTTTCCTCTCATATTGCTTTTGATCTCTTTGATCTCTTGAATTGATCGCTGTGGTCAGATGCGGCGTCTGAGGCGGTATGTCACCAAATGGTCTTTGATTTTCAGGCTCCTACGGGGCGAGGGGGAGGACATCGAAACGTCACCCATCAATAAAAAGACGATTTAAAGGAGATCGAACCTTTGAATTTTGAAATGTACATATTTTGCACTACGTATGATTAGCGTGAAGCGCGAAGTCTGGCACGCCTCCTTGCGGCACCCTCTCCCCCCCTCGCCAGATCTGGCAAGCCCACACCCACTTTTGATCTGATTAGACTTACAGGCTGACTGTGCATGGCCGCACGCGAGAAATGAAAGGTGTAGACACTGGTTTGGCGGACTGGTCCCGTATACGAGAAGTCGTTGAAGCGGTAGATGTGCCGGTGGTTGCTAATGGGAATATTCAGGTGCGAGTCGCAAGTGATCATGTTTACCGACGTTGCAGAGATACCTTTAGATGCCTGGAGATGTTGAGAGATGCCTTGCAGCAACCGGAGCCGCTGCAGTTATGTCAGCCGAAGGAATCCTCTACAATCCAATGCTTTTTGCTGTGAGTGAGACATACACTGTTTTTGTTATGAATGCAGCGTTTCAAGGACAAGAATGAGGAAAGTTGGTCAGTTGCGAAGGAGTACTTAGAATATGCGCGTAGGTATTCTGCTGGCACTAGTGCTGTTCGGGCGCACATATTTAGGATCTGCCATCACAGGTACTTTGCAAGCTTTGCTTCTCTGATTTCAAATATGAATTCTCGTGTTTTAGCTTGCTAGAGTTTGCTGATTTGCGAATGCGGGTTTCTACTGAGCATGGTCTGGAAGACTATGAAGCAATTGTGGAGGAATTGAAGTTGCGTACTCGGGCTGTGGCAGATACAGAAGAAGCACGGAAACAAATGGTGCTTGCCAGAAACCTTTTTGATCGAATTAGGTGAGAAATTTAAGCGTTCCATCTACGAAAATAGTTCTCTTCATAGGAAAGGAGAAGTAGAAATGGACCCTATCGAAGTGTCTAGAGCTCCATATTGGATTTGTAAGCCGTATTTCCGTCTTTCGGAGGTAACTTTACTTTGTGCAAGTGAATACGTTATATGGATTCAAAGTTTCATCTGGATTTGGGTCAACTTTTCATGATGCTTCGTCGACCTGATATCCACTCTCTAAAAACTCGGAAAGTTTTCTGCGGGAATACTTGTTTACATGTGAACCACTCATAGCACAAGCTCCAGTGTCTCGCGCGTTTCTAATAACTCCTGAATGCACTTCCGCAATCTGTCAGAAATCAGAATATGTCATGCAAGCTTCCTTAGTACCTGCCCTAACCCAATCATAGGGACGTAGAATCGTTAGTCAAATGAAGTCTCTTATTTTACATTTTTCGAGAAACTCAGAAATGCTCGAAGGCGTCCTTGAATCTTTTGGAGTATTTCTAAGTATATAATAATGTTCATTCATGAAGTGAAAGCTTTTTTGATTCTCGTTGATGTCATGCTTCTTTATATATGCAACTAATCACTTTGAATAATGTGAACGTTTGAAAATGGGCAAATTCTCTTCTCTAACCTCAAAAATATAGCTCAGGTGGTTTGTACGTACCAGAATGTGAGAATTGGAAGAATAGTTGTAAACCTGCGCAGTTTGATAGTTCAGGTTGCTCGCGAAAGCATTGTGGCGGAAGGAGAAAAGACCTATAAGGAAAAGAGGAAAGAACATCTCCAGAAAATTGCTGATGAGTTGGGACTTTCTTTGAAGTAAGTTTATTGTGTACGCTGATCTGAGCCGTTCAATCTTTGGTTAAAGGCAGGCAAGGAAGAGAGAGCGAAGGAAACTGAATGGTCAACGCACTTTCATCTCGAAAAGGGTATTTTTGAGCTTCTTTTGTTGTTGTTTTTTTTGATGAAATGATCACCGAGTTTGAGGCAAGGTTTCCTCCATGTGTGCGATGTTCTCAGCCAGCTGGACAGGGATGCGCGCATTCCTTCTGTAAGAAGTGTTGCCGCTGGACATGTAAACAGAAGTTTTGGGATTGTAAAGGTTCTTTCTCCTCTTTCAGTTCTTCTCCGATTTTCTCATTTCTTCTTTTTAGCTCACCGTCAGAATTTTGCTGGCCTGTCTCTCAAAAACACCATCTGTGACAGCCAAGAGACTCTGGAATAAATAGTCGTGAGTTGAAGAGATCTGGTTGACAGAGTGTCTGGACGTTCAAAATCTCTATGGGAGAAGATACACTTTTGTTGAGCCCCTCGATAGAAGTCGCGCGTATATTTATTTACTTGCTTTCTTATTCGCTCCCCATAGTCGCATCTGACATGTGAGAAAACGATCTGCTCGTTTCGAAACTGTGGAATGATTGTGTAAGGAGTGATGTGACTCCTCTATACCGATTGATTTGTAGTGTCAGACACGAAAGGAAGTAGTATGGGTGACTGGCTTTTTGAATAACCTGGTGAATGATCTTGAATCTTGACTAGTATGGAACTATCTCTACCTCCTTCTTTTTATGCATAGTTCAACAAATCGAAGGCCAAGATTTTGGGATATTGGACAGTTTATGCACTAATGCCCTCAAGGCTAGGTATTTGAATGCTAATTATTCTTTTGAAAAATCGCGATCAACTCGAGATTTGCAAGGGATTTACTTCATGGATACCTCTCCTACTTTTATTTCTCACGTTGTCTGTTTTTTATCCGCATTATAGATGATAGTGTATGCGTTGTTGTTGAATATCTTCTGGCTATTTTTCCCTGAAGCTGCTATGCGGGTAATTGTTATGCACTACTGTTAATAAATAATTCTATCTACATGTCAAGTTATTTTTGATCGGTTGTGACACCTCTGTACCTGTTTGTTCAATGTTTTTCCAAATCTTCTTCTCAACCCAATTATTACAGAAGCTTCTACATCAGTTATGCAAAGAACACTGTGAGTTTTCATCACTGCTTTACTTTCAAGATAAGTCAATCAAAAGATTTCTAGCTACCCAACATGTACTGGTACCTCCGTCATCGCTCTACAGTACGATAGAGGAGTTGTGGTAATGACTGATCGTGTAGTGTCCTATGGAAAAACAGCTCGATACAAGGTAGGTTTCCTTTCTTTCATTGGTGCTACTATTGTTTATCGTTTTAGAATGTTTCACGTCAGTACAAAGTGAATAACAGTATCATAGTCGCGTTTGGAGGTGATCACGCTGACTTCCAGTGGCTACAGAATGTCATCGAACGACAGGTATAAAGTGGAAACTTCACTGAAGTTGATGCGCACATCAGCTGAGTCATTTAGGTTCTTTCGTGGAAGATGATTGGCCAAGACCTTTCCCCCAAAGCTTTGCACGGATATTTGACAAGCCTTATGTATGCTCGGTAAGCCATTTTGTGTGATAATTTTTGGTCGTATTAATCGGTTCATTAAGGCGCACAAGGATGAATCCATTATGGAACACGCTTATTGTAGCAGGTATAGAGGATGAAGAGAAAAACAACAAGGAGACAAGCGCTCCATTCATTGGTGTCATCACTCAAAAGGTTTGTTGTTTACTGTTCATGTGCTTTTCGTTCATCAAGCAAAGCACTCGTATAGGGAGTTGCTTACCAAACGAAACACGTTGCTACCGGCATCGCTGCTATGCTGCTCAATCAAGTCGTTGAGGATGAATGGAGAAAGAAGGTTAACCTAATCACTACTTGGGATTGGCTTCATCATGAAGGAGATTTTGTGGAGAGATCCCTTGAGCATGAAGACTGGCAAAAACTGAGCTTATAGGGAGATAAACTAAGCCGTGCTGAGGCAGAAGCCGTGCTTCGTAAAACGCTTGAACTTACTGTTTATCATGACTGTACCGCGGATAATGATTTCGAATTGGGAGTCGTTGATGCAGATGAAGGTGTCGTTCTGGGCAAACAGGTACATAGTGCTAACTGTTTGTTTTCCTAACACCTGGAGACACAAGGAAATGTCGCGTTTCAGGAAACCATCATTGGTGACTGGAGTATTGCAGAAACCAACTGTCAGTACGAGTGAATTGTTGCGTTGGATGATCGACTTTTGATCTATTTAACAGTCTTGTAAACGTACAGTTTGTTGTAAGTAAGTAATAAAGTTATGTTTATTCGATCTTATCTGATTTCAAAGAAGTGCTCTTCCCAAATTACTTCACCATAAGTCGCGATTTTGGGTGCATTGTGTATGTCACTATTGGTACTCCTAATAGTTGTTACTTCACATGTGACTCTTCTGCATAAGCCTTTTCAATGTTTCTTGTGTAATTTGCAAATCTGTAAAGTGTAACAAAGTGTGCGGCGTCAGTGCACACGTTTTTTGGCTATGAAGGAGTCACCGAGAACATCACCATATATTCGAAGTATGCGTTTTTTTTGCACGATCTATTTGTTTAGCCATTACTTCTTCAACTCAGTGTCTAAGTTGATTATCTTCTCCATAATCCAATATGTTCATATAAATTTCTTACCGTTGATACACTAGTGTTTTCGTGAGACAATATAGCAGGTGGATGATTGAGAACGGCTTCTACGGCGCTATTTTACATGCAGGTGATGCTGCTTTTCGTTCATTTTTCCCCATCTCACCCAAAGACATTGACCAGCCGCAGTGTATGGAAAGTTGGTGGAGCCAGTTGCACCTAATTTGGATCCGTATCGTTAAGCCTCCATATGCTATCCAAAATTGAGCTGATGTTTGCGAGATGTTGTTGAGATGTATCCAGTCATCTCTGATATGCATGTTGCACAAGACGCGCGCTAGATCACGACATCCTCAGTTGATATTTGCTGCTTTTTAGAAAATTCTTCCTGACTTCTCTTTTTAGCTTGGTTGAATGAATTTGAAACAACCCAGGGTGGCCTATAGTAGGACGTTACAACACGTAACATATCTTATTTTGAAATGTTATTTTCATGATGGTTGATACGTCAAAAGCTTATGGACAATCTCCAGGATAAAAATGAGAATCGGACGAACGTGGGTCTTTCAAGTTGGGGAAGAGAAATTATTGCTGTTACGGCGTTTAATCCACAGACTGTGCTGCCCAAATTCTCGTGTTCTCAAGAATCTGATCGATTTATAACCGGACTATCGTCATGGGATAATTTGCTGGTTCTTCACTTAAAAATTCGCGCGCGTTAGCTTCAAGATAGGCTGCTGAAGTCTGTATGCATGTGCAAGAGCCCATCCTTGTAGGAGGAACGCGTGATGCTTTAGTGTTTGACTCGAGTAAGCGTAGCGCCGTGGAAGCGTGTGATCCAACAGCAACAAATATAAGAGCGAGTATCAGGTTTATCGGTACATCACATAGAGGGTACATCAGGAATAGTAACATGATAGATCACAATGGTAATCCATGGCGTAGGTCGGTGGAGGACACAGATGGAGGTCCGCATCAGCGGGAGACGGTGAGCACGGTCGGGTCCGGCCGACCAGTGGCCTGCCAGGTGGGAAGACTCCTTGTGGTGGTGGACTAGTCGGCTTGTGATTGTGGTGGTAGATTATATACCATAGCGTGGAATGCATATCATCCTCATATCTGTAACAGTTTATCTCATTCTCATAACATACTTTGTCTTTATCTAAGCTTTATATCTTGTTCTCATGACATAGCTTCTCGCTTGCACATCTTCATGCGCCTACGCTTACACCTCCCCTTTTTACCCATAAGTCCGTCCTCGGACTTAAGGACTGTGCTGACAGTGTGGACCGAATAGTATGGAGATGCAACAGCTTGCAGTGGAGGGATACTTGCCAATGGGCTTTGGGAGCGACTGAAATTGGCATGATACTGACTCCGCAAAGCAGAGTGATGTGACTCTGTTTCAGTGTGCAGTGACGCTCGGGAGTGGGAGCAGTGTTTATTTGTCAAAGTCTACTTAGGACACATCGGTGAGAGCGTAGAGACTGATTGTGTACGGCTCGTTAGCATACACGCGTGGGTTGGACACTCCTTGGTTGGAGGAGGCTCGCCTAAGCAGGGCATCTTGGGACGAGAGGCATGAATTCTCGTAGTCGCGTTTTGCGGTGCGCGGGTTTGCCAAGATGGGGTTTCGGCGGGTTTGACACTGTATCATGCGGGGTCGATTGTCAAAGGCACTAACTATTGTGTCGCGGGGAACGTGATAGACAAATCTCGTTTTGCGAGACTGACGCCGTGGTTGATAAAAGCAAGGGGAAGAATTACAAAATGTTGCGGCTTGCAATCACAGTGCATTTGACGGCACTACGTAATTAAAACGTCGATTAAATTGGGGGATTTCAGTGGGTGGATCCGAGGGTGTGCGGAGGGGGGTGGAACAATTTGCGAGGGCAGACAGCGTGAGCCCATGGGTGAGTGTGGATAAGTGGGTGGGTGAGGTCGGACGGGGTTTCGCTAGGGAGCTGAGGAAGCTGGCGGCGAATAGGGACAGGCTGCGAAACCTGGGTGGGGGGGGGCGGCGAGGAAGGATTCCCTCTTGGGGGGCTGAGAGTGTACGGGTGCAGGGCTGAACCAACGAGTTAACCGTGTTATTCGGCGCCTTCTACAGTTTCTAAAAGCAACGAGGAGTTACTTTCGCTGTTTGTATGAGGTGTATTTGCTAAAAAGTGACGGTTGGGCACGAGCGATGTCAACCATTGAGGCTGTCGGAAGAGTATACTGGCATAGGCGCCGATCACGACGCTGTAAAGCTAACCTGAGGAGGGTACTGGTTCCTGCATACCTGGGTGGCGGTATGTGGTCGTGGTCGAAAATTTAACGAAAAACTCATCGTAACGAGGATCGCCTCTATCACAGCCAGCCGGTGGAAGGAGAGAAAAGTGTTATACAGATAAGGTAGAGGGGTCAAGAAACAGGAAGGGAATTTAGCAGTCTTAAATCGGTTGGCGAAATGAATAAAAGAAGTAGAAAATACCAATAAAGCTGTTTCAAATAAGCTTCATGGTAAGAGTATACGGGCAGGGGGACCATCAGGGCCAAAGTAAGAGAACTCACTGAAAGGAGACTGCCATCGGCGATGCTGTCGTATCTTTACGCGATCTGCAATGTTGTCATCCTGTGTTGGCTATGTTTACATTCGATTGGGCTTACGCGAACGTGGCGGGCAGGCTGCTCATGTTTGAGAAAACATACTAGAGGGGAGTTAAGAGTGTTCTTACAAATGGAGGGGGCTGTATAAATTGAGAGCAAACAAACCTTCGATAAATATGTCAAGTGTCTACGGAGTGGGACGCGAGCACGCGTATTAGCAAAAGACATAAAAAAAATTACCCGAAAAGAATAAAACTGAGCTCGAGTTACAAATTTGGGGCTACCCAGCATAAAACTGCTGGAACGACATGCGGACAAAACATACCTTTGCATTTACCTGCCCAGCTGCGCTTCACTGCGCTACACTTCACTCTCATGGGCGAACGCCGGAGCCCTGTACACCAGAACATCACTTTGCTAAATAATACAAAAAAAGGTCCGCATTTCAACTGTCCCTGCAGGGGAATGCACTTTTCTTCACTCACTTCACTGCCGGCTCCGCTGGGCTCACATCACTTTAACGCTTATCTAAACTACGGGTGGCGTTCTATCACTTTCTGCGCGCTAAAAAAGTAAGAAAAAGGAAAAACGTTTTCGAAATTTGCGAAAAATGAAGAATTCGCAAGACCTTGGCGCCTTAGGTCCTACGGAAGAACGAAATTGAAAACGAATATCCTTTTTCGAACATTTTGTTTTTTGTTTTTCGTTTTTTTGTTTTTTGTTTTTTGTTTTTTTTTCACGGTCTTTCGACCGGAAGCGATTTCGCCCGCTTCGGCTCACGGCCCAATAGGGTCGGACTAAACTTTTCCAACGGTGTTTTGACCTTAAACGATTTCGCCCGCTTTGGCTCACGGCCCAATAGGGTCGGACAAATGGGTCTTTCCGGAGGCTACTGGCAGGGGGACCATCAGGTCCAATGGAAAAAACTCACCGTTTCCTTGAAGCGGAGACACTCGCTGCTACCAGTAAGCGTAGCGCCGTGGAAGCGTGTGATCCAACAGCAACAAATATAAGAGCGAGTATCAGGTTTATCGGTACATCACATAGAGGGTACATCAGGAATAGTAACATGATAGATCACAATGGTAATCCATGGCGTAGGTCGGTGGAGGACACAGATGGAGGTCCGCATCAGCGGGAGACGGTGAGCACGGTCGGGTCCGGCCGACCAGTGGCCTGCCAGGTGGGAAGACTCCTTGTGGTGGTGGACTAGTCGGCTTGTGATTGTGGTGGTAGATTATATACCATAGCGTGGAATGCATATCATCCTCATATCTGTAACAGTTTATCTCATTCTCATAACATACTTTGTCTTTATCTAAGCTTTATATCTTGTTCTCATGACATAGCTTCTCGCTTGCACATCTTCATGCGCCTACGCTTACACTCGCAAAAATTAATCTCGCAAAAACTTGCTTCCGGTGAAAAAATTTGCAAGTGTGAGCACATACTTTGCGGCCACTAGTACACAATTTTAAACTTTATTTTGGTAAAGAGCTTTTACTGGCTGGTAAGGCGTCGTTGGTTGTCGCACGCAATATTCAGGCTCACATGACTTGTATCATTTAGGGCGGTATTTACCAATCTCCCGCTCGCTACTCGGGCGCGTTTCATCGCTATACACGGTTCGGACAGGGAGAGCGTCCAAATCGTGATTTCTGTGAGGTTGGTTAGCATGGCCCGAACGGGGAGCAGACCCGATCTGTTGTAATCTGTTGAGATCTTTCGAAGTTGTTGACGTAATCACTAGATGCGCATATAAATGCAAAAACTGTGCCCGTGGACCGAAGGGAAAGAAAAAAAACATTACGGTGGGTTGGTCCTGTGTTTGCGACATGCAAAGTTTACGTCAGCAGGTGTTCTTGATTTGCGCCCGCTCGCGCTGCTGGCGTGCTGCTCTCCACAGCCCGATTAGGTATGAGAAGATGTACGAGCTGCGGGAAGGCGGGGCTCCGTGATCTAATTGAAGGCAGCGGACAGGCAAAATGGACCCCTGTCAGATTTTGGCAGTTTCGGGTAGTGGACCCCCAAGTACACCGTAGCCCCAACCAAAGTCAAGCTTGTGATGCGACGCAAAGG